ACCCCATCTATGTACAGAGACATTTCACAAAAATATTAAAAATGAGTACAGCATTTTCCCCATTTTTTATTCATTTTCCCTGGCAGCAATGGGTTAAGATATAATCCCAGTAGTTCTAAGTTTGTTTAACCCCATGGATCTGGGTGAATTGACCATCACATCAGGAAAAAATCCGGGTCGTGGTGTGGGTGACATGTACATGCTCAGCATCATATTCCTGGCCTTGTGAGCAGCAATGCAGGTTTTTACAGAAAATTGAATATTTTGTAAAAATAAAAAAATGACAAAAGTAAAACAGAGCTACATAGTTTTATTTTTCTTGCACTGAGTTCTGGACTACCTAGAGAGATAACTGGAGTCTGTGCAAAAGAAAAATACTATTACCATCTGGATAATGCAAATCAAATGGAAAATATGGACACTGGAAAATGGCCAAACAGCAAAAAACGCTTATTTGTAAAAAGTGTAAATAATTTTGCAATTAGGAGGCACACAGTTTTTACACCGTGCAAACGTGTTTGCGCCCAGGCTACAAGCAGCCACCCAGTAGAGCAGCTGCTCATGCAAGCCTAATCCCCAGATTTTTGGCGATGTGATTGTTGTGACGCAACCAGATCTATGGGAATAATGGTTAACCCAATGGTGACGGGTGAAGAAAACAAAACAAAAAAACTTTGAGCGGGGGAGTTTGGTACATCAGGATGAATCAACGGCTAACCGTGCTTTGGCGCACCGCCGCAGCATATACCCGCAACGCCACATTTTGAGCGGTTTGTTTTCACGTCTATTGTCGTCACCCGTCGTGAAGGGGTCAAAAAAAAAGAAGTAAATGCTAGATATCAAAAGTCATATAACAATAAAAGAAAGTATAATAGCAAAAAGACTCTTAGTCTTAACCCTTACTGTGATGAGACCATCACATTATGCAAAAATTTGTTTCTGGAGGGGAGTTGGGTGGGGAGGTCTGAGAAAAAAAGGTTTTCCTATGTTGAGAAGAGGAAATAGATGTCCAAGGAGCTGAGGGAAGGGTGGGTGTAAGAGAGGATATGGTAGGAGATGGAGTGGAATGCTCAGATTGTGTGGTGTGACAGGAAGAGTGAGGAGGAGGGGGAGGAGTAGGTAGGTTTAGGGTTAGTTTGGAAAAGGAATTTGACTGAGGGAGAGAGGTAGTAGAGATAGGTTCGGAGAAACAGAAACAGTTCTGGTACAAGTATTAAGGGAGGAGTGATGTTGGGCAGGAAGAGGTTTATCAGTGAGGTCAGTCAGGGTAGATAGTGCATGAGCTTAGGACTCAGATGTAACTGTAACAAGGCATGAACGATCAGAATGACTGTGAATGGAAACTTTGCCTACCTGTTTTTGGAGACATTGTCGGAGGAGAAGGTTATATGGGGTGGTATGGAGAGAGGTAGTACTGTTGGTTGGAGGACAATAAGGATGATGAGTAGTAATAAGGGGTAGACAATGAAGACTGTGCAGTAGAAAAAGGAGTGGAAGAAGTTGGGAGAGAGGGGTGTATTCTGAAGGTTGAGTAATGATCTGGGTGGATGATTCGTAATGGATAGAGTTGACTGCAAACTTGAGGAGGAGGTATTAATATCAGTTGGAGCCATGGTCAAAGGAGAGGCAGTGTTTGGGAAACCAATGAAAGCCTTAATGTCCCTAATATGGGTAAAAATTCCTCATTACTGTCCATGGTGAGCCTGAAATAAATGGGGAGAAGAAACAGTCTACCCCTCTGGGTCCCCATGAAGGGGAAAGGCTAGATAATTAACCAAGGAATATCGTGCCCACAGTTCCTGGAGGCCGTCCATGACTGACACAAAGCTAATCTCTTATCCTTTCAAGTAGAAGGCTGTAGTCCAAGATCAGGGTGTCCCCCTATATTAGGCCCCAGTCTCTGCCTCCTAAGCCCCCCACAACAACAGTGAGCAAGGTATTAGGGGTGGGCCAGGTGTTGTGAACATGCTGTCATGGGAAAATTTGGCTGTAGGCCGGGGTGAAACGAACTTGCTGTCATGTTCATTTTGGCTGTGCATTGGGATGATGCGAATTTGCCATCATGAGCATTTTGGCTGAAGGCTAGGGTGATAGGAAAGAGTCACCATAAATGCACAAGCCTTTTGGAGGCTCATTTGGCATTCAAAAAAGGGCTTTTGAATTATTTCCACCAATAAGTGAGAGTGGAATGTTGTGTCTATGAGCCATGACTGGAACAGCACTAGTTTCAGAGAGGTTGCCATTACCATGCTCAGCATCCTTTTCCTGGCTGCCATGACTGGTATTGCAGAAAATTGAATATTACAAAAATATATAAAAAATACACATTACAAAATGTTACTAATTGTTATTATTCTTGCATTGAGTTATGGACTACCTAGTGAAATGATATGGAATCTGTGCAAGGAAAACAGTCTATTACCATCAGGATAAAGCAAATCAAATGACAAATATGCAGAAAAAAAAGAAAATGACATTGCAAAGGAGAAGAATAGAGTCTTGTCACTGCACACAAGTGTTTGCACGCACCCAGCCTACGAGCTGCATACCCATCAAGAGTGGCTGCACAAATAAGCCTAATGCCCATATTTTGGGCCATATGATTACCGTGAAGTAACTGGATCCAATGGGTTAATGATTAGATGTGCTATACATCAAAAGGTGTCCAGCATACAGAGGATGAGTAAATGGGCCAAAGCAGGGATTAGGTTCATGTTTTGGATGACTTGGTTGTGGCTCTGGGTGACAGGTCATTCATATGCCATATCCCCTGAGGTATTGCCCAAGGAAGAACCCGATGTGAAATGCTGGGAAGTAGTAGACTGGAGTGTCTGGAATAAAAAATAGCAAAAGAATTTGACTGGGAGAGGAGGAGGTAGGAGAGGGAACATAAAGAGAAGGAGGAAGATATGATGGGGGAGATGTAGGAAAATCTTGGGGAGAAGGGGGTGGGCAGACTGAAGGACATCACTGGTGTGTGGAGTAAGAGGAAAGCCTCATCAGCCTGTTTACTGCCTAGCTTTGTGTAGAGTGAGGCCAAGTTTGAACCTGTTGACTGTTACAGGAGCCACCACAATTGGCACATATAATTGGGTTCAGTTAGGTTGGGTTAATTTAGATTGGGCACATAAAGGGCAGCAGGCTGTTGAGTGACAGTGCTAGGCAAGGCAACATTTCTAGCATTGACAAACAGGTCATTTTCACAGACTGATTAATCCTTGTCATAGACAGGGCAATCAGCCAGGGAAACGGAAACAGTTACAGTATAAGTATTAACTCTTAGCCTTTGAATGACATGGGATTCACACAAAAGCTGAATTGGTCGTAGCTCTACGTGACATGTTAGTCATGTCATGGCCAACGTGTGTACTGCTCCAGGCGACAAGTCATCCACTTCATGGTACTATGATGTGTGCATTATATTTTATGCTGTTCTTTAGAAGGAACCTTCATGCCCTCACTCTATGTCCTAGACCATTGGCTATTTTGTATAAAGGTCAAATTTCAGAATATAAATAATTCGCCTGCCATGTGTGGAAGATGTCATACATCAAAACATGATGCTCTTGCCGCTGATGTGAACCTGAAACTCTCACTCTTGTTTAACCAGACGCCGACTGGTATAAGAAAGCCATGAGCATCATAAACTCCATACACTGGGCACAGGAGTCTGCTGCGAGTAGCACAACTTCCTGCTCCACACGCTCTGACACGTTGCTGCACTTACAGCCATACCCCACAGAACAAACTGTATGTTATGACACTTGTAAACATGTCCCGTCCGAGTTGGGTTAACCCCTTCCCGACTGGTCATGCCGTGAGGCATCAAAACAAACCATTCGATCTGTGGCATGCAGCTGTATGCCATAATAGCGTGCCAAAGCACTATGAGCCGGAGATTTGACTCCCACGCTCAAAGTCAGTGCATTGCCATTGATCTCCAGAGCATAGTGTTTTTTTGTTTTTTTTTCTTCACCTGTCATCAAGGGGTTAAACAGCATTTAGAATAAACTTTCAATTATATATACTTCAGCACCTGAATGGCATGACTGCATTATTCTAAGTTTAACAGGTTGAGGAAAAGATATTACCAAGTAAGATGAAGGAAACGCCCATTGCAGTCAAAGCCATCAATAGTCTTCATATCATCATCTGACAGAGCAAAGTCAAACACCTAAAAAATAAAAACAGAAATTAGGTTTTAGGTATTCTATCCAAGTAATTTTTTCCAACATATTCAGAACCAATAAGATTTCATTACTGCTGTCATCACTTCTAGATTCTATAGATAATATATATGTAATCATATATTAGGCAGGGAGATCTGCATTGGGAGAATGAATGCTAAGGTGAAGCTAATCTTGCATGCCAGTAATCCCAAAGAACTACTGTGGAAGATGGAACAACACTCAGTTTGAGTTATCTCTAGTGGTGGAGGTTCCAGTCCTTGCTAGAAGTTATATATCTATATTTATGCATTACTACATTATTCCATCGTCCATAGAATAATGTATGACATTGTATTTAAATATCTGAATCAGATCCACTAAATACCTACAGAGTTGCCTGTAAAATTAGTCATCATTACTTTTATATGGGCAGTTTGATCATTTCTATGGGACTTGTGTCATGAGTTACTTTTTCAAATATCAAAATTTAAATTCAAATAATTACTTACAATTACTATTAATTAATATTATCTGACTAATTTTCCTTATATTAAAGTCACTAATAAACAATTAAATTAATGAGTTTCCTTAATTACTCAAGGAACATTGGGGTTCCTTTAAGCATAAAATCACTTGGCCAAACAAATGTACTTCATTTGGATGATGAGTTATGAACAATAAACATTAAACCCCTTGCTGACAGGCATGGCATGTACGTACATGCCATGCCCACTGTGAGTCGACTTTTTTGATTGTTTTTACACATAGATGGCTACACTTGTACTAAGTCACCAATTACGAGTACTGCCTGTCTCGCCCGTTCACCCTTTTCATCAATTTACAAAACTATTTAACGATATCTATATCTATAGCACTAGTAAGAATACTTTTTTCCCGCCAATTCAAGGAAAGGTGAAATCAGGACTAGCAGACCCATCTAGGTACAAAGATATTTTGCAAAATATAAAAAATGAGTACAGCATATTCCCCATTTTATGTTCATTTTCCCCAGCGGCAATGGGCTAAATCATATAAAAAAAATCACTTGATTGCAAAAATACATTTAAATATATTTTTATACAAACAGGAACAAAATGTTTCTCACATAGGGAATATACACCAATATCTAAATCACAAGTGAAATGGAAAGAATGTTCTCTTAAACTACTAATGACAAAATCATTTTCAATATACAAACTAAATACTTGAATATAGCAACAAGAAAAGTTACTCATTGTTATTACTATTGCACTGACGTGTGGCGTTGGTTCCAAAACTATCATACATGACAAACCTTTTTGCTTCCAGCATACCTATAGATCTTAGCACTGTTTTATCATTTTTGGTTGGACTAAAACAAATAAAACAAATAATACATGAACCAGGCATTTTACAAAATACTAAAGCTACTGGAAATTTGGTTCAAGTGGAGCAAAATTTAAAATACTGGCAAATTATCAGAATAGCATTTCTATGAACTAAATAATCATAAAACAGAATCACATAAAAAAAATTCTCATGGCTCATCAATTATAAGAAATGAAAATGAATAACTCCAATTCAGAAATGTGATCCAGATTTGGATTGTTTGAAATAAGTACCTATAGTAAGTAAAGTGATATGCTTGGCTTGGCATTTGGGTAAATCTTATCAGACCACTTACAAGTCCATCTAGTAATAAAAAAAGGTGCTGTTGCACCTTCTTGACATGACAGTCATCAACTGTCATGCAGTTTACATACCCAGACTTCAGGGTTAAGCTGGCTCATGAGCTACTCAGTGGCATCTTCTAACTCATTCCTTACAGTCACCATCAAGTCACTTTCCTGAATTCTTACACATAAGTAGAGTGGTTTAGATACAAATATATTCCCAAAATCTGGGCCTACCTAGTACATAGCCTACTTACTGTTCCTGGGCTATCATTCTTCAACTTACCTGGATATTTTCCTCAATGCGTGATTTTGTAACTGACTTGGGAATAACAATTACGTCACGTTGAATCTGCAGTAAGAGATGTTACTTTAAAATCAATATGAACTGTAATATAAAAACATCATATTGCAATATCCTCAGGTAATAATAATATAACTGAGTAAACCAATATAATCAAATAGGTCACATCATGAAAGTTTTGTTCAGTATGACATAAGGCTGAAAACACACATCATAATCTTCCTAATGTAATATCCAATCATATTTTTCCAAATTCAAGAAAAAATATGCATATCAAATGAAAGCCAAAAAAATATAAACATTTATAATGAAACTAAAACTACATTTCCCAGTAAAGCAGCACAACCTCACAAACTGAAGCTCTGCATACTTCCCAAAAAGGTTCATCAAGTCTATAGCCTTGTCTTCGCATTCTCACCAGCAGGTGCTCCTCTCGACTCACTGTAGAGACCTGACTGGCTGACACGTACATCTCTCATCTCTCTCACTGGACCCTCATAACTGTTGTTCAGTTATAAAGACCATATGTACTTAACCCCTTTGATCTGGGTGCCATGACCATCACATCATGAAAAAATCTGCCAAGAGGGGCAAGCGATGTGAACATGTCATCACAGGAAAACTAGAAAGATGATATGGAGTCTGTGCAAAGAAAACAGTCTATTACCATTTGGATGGCAACTATGGACATTGAAAAAAGGCAAAAAAGCCAAAAATGCTAATGTGTAAAAAAGGAAATAACACTGCAAGAAGAAGGAATCAAGTTTTGTCACTGCACACACTTGTTTGCATGTACTCAGCCTGTAAGCTGTGCACTGTGAGCCTAATGCCCAGATTTTTGGTCACATGATTGCTGTGATGCAACTGGATCTAAGGGGTTAAGCTGCAGAATCCAGAACCGAGATCACCATCTCGCAATCCTCAACAAGTAGAAGCAACACTAGGACTGCCCAGTCCTTTGCCAACAGGGAACCTCTCAGGCTCCCCTGTACAACTCCACTTTAACTACAGCACTGAGCTATACCACTCACACCACTACAATCACTCCATAAAGATATATAGACCAGTTCAAGTAGTA